GAGGCTGACTTCGGCGATAGAGCACAAGCAGTGCATCGTAGTTTTTAAAAATAAGTCGGCGTTAAAATTATTGTACTTAAAACTAATCGAATTTAAAACCAGTTAGGAAAGTAGTAAAGTCGGACGGAGCAGACAATATGATACCCATAACAACTATGGGTATATTAAATAGATGCATCCTAACAGACGTCGCATATTTGAAGGTCGATTAACATGAAATTGTATGAACTAAAATATGCGATATTCATATAAATGTTCACCGAGATCATATAAACATAAACATGTCATTCGTTTGTTACAATGGGGCAAAATTATATAAAACTTGAGACATGTTAGGCTATACTAACATGTCTCAAGCAATTTATAGCAACTTCAGTACGTTGTGCAAAATGTTGTCCCAATCGGCTTAACTTTGGTGGATTAGATTTGGACGAAAATATATATTGGAGTTATATTCAAATTTGAATCGATTTCAACAAAACTTGACGCACGATATACAGTACGCTGTGAAAAAATGTTGTGCCAATCGGCCCAACTTTAGGTCTTTGTAAATCTAAACCATATCTTCCCATATCTCAGGATGTATGAATTACCTACGTAAAAATTTCAAAACGATCCGAATGAAGCCCCTAAACTTGACTTAAGCCAAATTCGGCTAATGCATCAAAAACGTTTTTAAAGAAAAATTTTCCCAATAGACATGTTTTTTCTAAATAGCCGCCAATATTAACAAAATCGCTCAATAAATGACGAAGTTATGAGCATATGATTTCCGGAACTTCAGAGGTCCACATCTTTGTTCTCGGGAAGTATGGACTTCCCCCATGAATGTCATATATACTTGTGGAGAAAATTTCAAAAACTAAATCGGAGATGTGCCCATAAATTCAACTTATGTCCCCTGAACACCTATTTTTTCAATACTTCCAGAGATCCAGGCGGAAAAATGATTAAAGAAGACTAGCCTAGGCCCGGTCGAGGATCTTTTATGGTTTAGAATTGCTTTTTTTGTGATGCCTTTTAAAAATGATTAATGTGCTGATTATAAAAATTCAATTATCATATCGAAGTAACTGAAATATGGGCCTCCAAAGTTCGATATGCACGTTCAAACTTTGTAGTCAGACTACTTTAGGACTACTTATGGTAAAAATTTCAAGACGATTCACTACCGAACCTTAAATTGGATTTAAGGCTTTTTTTGGAATTGGGTTACAAAAAACCATTATAGATTCTAAACCATTATAAATACCACTGCCCACAAAACCCAACAATTCTCAAATCACAAAGAATTTGAACTTACCCACAATTCATCTAAGATCTCAGCTGCAGGATAAAATCTTTAAAGTAGAAAAATATCCTTGTGAATGCTTGGTAGAGAAATGTATATCATAAAAAGCCGGCCTTCTTCGAACACGAACACGTCAAAAATGTACCGCGGATCGATCTTAAATTTTATAGTTAATACGTTTGCTTCTCTTAACCGAAATCTTCTCAAATGAAGAATCAATTTTCATGATAACACGTTTAATTTACCTTTCGTTGTTCTGGTCAGGAAAATTACCAAATCTTCATAGATCTCAAATCGAAAATGTTTGCCATCCACAAATAAAACGGTATTTCAAAGCTGTTTTGAAGTGCTGCCAAAATATAAAAGGTTGCCAGATTATTTAAAGAAAATTCAATTCTATTCTTGCTTTGTTCCCGTACTTTTTTATACCCTTCACCATTGATAAAGTTAGGTTTGTTAAAAGAACTATCAAGAGACAGTGACTTCGCTCGGAGACATAATCACACTGCACAGTAGATGTTTAAACTGGTAGCTCTAATATAAAAAATTTGGTATGGGGGTATAACAAACTTGTTAACGGATTGTTAGATGTAATTACCAGTCACGTGTTGAGAATGAAGAGGTTTGGTACTAATGTTCCTTACATTCAGCAAAAACACGATTTTGTTGATTAAAGGGTGGTTAAAGTAGTTGTTGTAGCAGATTTTACTGCTGTGAATTTTTCTTTTGCTCAATCTCAATCTCTGCTTCTAATACCAGATTCAAACAAGTGTTCCACACCATGACATCGAGGAAGTGCTGTTATAATTATGATAATTAGGTATACCCCTAATATCATCATTATTAATTATACCCCTAATAGTGCAAAAATACGAATACTGGTGATTTACCAATGATTGATAACACAATAGAATACAACGGAAGAAGAAGACTGCAAAACAAAAATTATTTTGTTTATCCCTAGGCTTGGAAAGTTTGAACATTGTGGTAAAAAATTCCTAAAAGAAGTTGCATTCAAGACGGAAGAGACGGTCACTCACATTTTGTTTGTTTGCACGAGATTCACCACCACCAGAGTTAAGTTTGCATCGTTCAATGGAATCCAAACAGTAGAGGATTTCATTAAAAAACATAATTGGAACCATCTTTACGACTTAGTCAAATTTATCAAGGAAATTAAAGTCAAAATCTAACCCTCATTGAAGGCTCGTAGACAAAGTCTACTTAATTGGTGGTGGCGCTGTTAATACTCGACCATCGGGAGGCGGGCCAAAAACTTAAAACAGAAAAAAAAGAAGTTGCATTCGACCTGTAACCAAGAAACATAAATCACCATCAATGGATAAAGTCAAACCTGTAGCTTAGATGCACATGGATACATGGCTCTGAACATTCTAACTGCAAGTAGAACGTGAGCCAGGAAAGATAGGAGATAATAAAAAAAATATTTATCTTTCGGATGTTAGAATTATGGAAATCTCAACACAAATAGAGAATTTCTATAGGAAATGCCGGGCATGTTTAGAGCAAGTCGACGATTTACAGTCCATTTCAAATAAGGACGATTCATCGCAAATTACATATGCCGAACTTCTGACAGAAGTAACAAATGTTAATGTAAAATTTAATCGAAATATTTGTAAAATAAAATTGAGTTCCTAATTCTAAATATTAACCTTTTCAGATAATGTCAGATTGTGCCACAACAATTCCTGCATTTATTTGCATTCAGTGTTTGCAAAAATTAAAATCGTCACATTCTTTTATAAAACAAGTGCAGGAAGCCAATGAGAAATATTTGGCGCAGATAAAGGAAGTCGTATATGAGCCTGCAGTTCCAATCAAAGTCGAAGCTCCTAATGATGACGAAAAGATGCCAACTGAAATGTTCGATTTCAATAATCGAGAATCCGTTGAAGATATTCCAATTAAAAACGAACCAATTGAAAGTGATAATGATTCGGAGAAAGGGGATTTTGAACCGAACATAAGGTATGCATAAGAAATAATAAAAACAAAGGAATATGTGAGATTCATGGCCCATGGCCTCTATTTTACTACGGAGTCCTGGTTACAATAGTATACTTTTTGGCGGAAGTTCATTCAGACATATGGCCATATTAAATAAAGCAATATGGGTATCATATTGTAGCGATTGATGTTCTTATTTCATAATAAAAATAAAGATTGCTATGCCAATAATATTGAAATCCAGTATTAGCCAAGTAATCTTTTCACAAAATTTTGCATAACCTAATTGTCGTCCTATATCTTCGATAGCCTATAATGGACTCTAACCGTCATAATCCGCTCCCAAGCATTCATATAAATGCTACATACTTTTAGGAGTCTTAAATTAAAAACGTTTTGTTTAGTGACCGGGAGTAGGCACCTACTGTCAGTAATCAGGAATTTATCTAAAAATCTCAGAATTATACTTAACTTAAAATAACAATCATTAACATATTTCATTAAACAGTCCTAACCACATCAAAGAAGAGGATTCCTTTGAATATAACTCCGAATCCAGCGATAATACAAATGAAGATACCACCACCAATCCCAATGAGCGTGAGGAAAATAACGGAATACCTGTAAAAGATAATTCTAAAAGCTCTGTATACTGTACCAAATGTAACAGATTATATAAAAATGACAAAGAATTACAACGACATTTAAGAAATGCCCACATTCCAGAAGATCAAAAATGTGCATGCCCTTTGTGTGGTGCAAAATACACACGTACCTATACTATGTACTATCATATGCGTACTCAACATGGTCCAGAATCGGTAAAAATTGTACTACCACCAAGTAAGGGAACATTCCAATGTGAAAAATGTCCACGCAAATATAGTCAGCAGAAATATCTAAATCGTCACATGAGAGTAAAGCATATGGGAAAAGAAGACGACGACGAAATGAAAAAGGACGACTTAACAAATCATTTTTGTTCGATATGTCGAAAATTATTTGGAAATAAAGCTCATCTAACCATACATATGCGGCGACACACTGGTGAAATGCCCTTTAAATGTGACACATGTGGTAAGGGCTATCCACGGAGATCTGAGTTGACATGTCATCAACGTATACACACCGGTGAAAAACCCTATAAATGTACACTATGTGAAAAATCGTTTCGTATATCGGCTAAATTAAAAATTCACATGCATTCTCATACCAATGAGAGACTATTTAAATGTACCGAATGTGATCGTAGCTTTAAATATTATAAAACTTTAAATAGTCATAAACGTGTGTGTAATAATGAAAATAATAAAACTGTTAAATAGCTGTCATGTAGTACATCATGCCTAAAATCTCAAATACTGAATTAAAAAAATAGAGTTATTTTGCAAAATAAATATAATCATTAAAAAAAAATATGAAGGTCATATATATAATTCATATATATTGAAGAGATGTAGCGTTTCATATGAACCATTACCACAAGTGGGTACTGTTATAACCAACTAGAGAATTATCATAACAATTAGGTGTACCCCTCATAATCACCGTTATTATTAATTGTACCCCTAATATTGTAAAAGTACGGTTACTGGTTACTTTTGATTGGTCAATCAGCAATACAATGTAATTTGCCAATGATTGATAACACGAATGAATAGAGCGGAAGAAGAAGAATCGACCAAAACAAAAAATTTTACAAAATATTTATTCTTCGGATGTTAAAATTTTTAAAATGATGGAAATATCAGCACCGACAGAGAATTTCCATGTGAAATGCCGGGCTTGTTTAGACCAAGTCGACGACTTACAGTCCCTTTCAAGTAGCGATGATTCAACGCAAATGACATATGCCGAACTTCTGATGGAAGTAACAAATGTTAATGTAAGACCAGGTCAAAATTGTGTTAGCATAAGTTTGGGTTCTAACTCTAAATATTATCCTTTTCAGATAATGTCAGATTGTGCCAACACAATTCCTGCATTTATTTGCATTCAGTGTTTGCAAAAATTAAAATCGTCACATTCCTTTATAAAACAAGTGCAGGAAGCCAATGAGAAATACTTGGCGCTGGTAAAGGAAGTCATATATGAACCAGAAGTTCCAGTCAAAGTCGAAGCACCTGACGATGATGATGAGATGGCGGCTGAAATGTGTGATTTAAATAATGGAGAATCAGTTATCGATATACCAATTAAAACCGAACCACTTGATAATCCATTGGGTATATTGCCCAAGGAAACTGATGGCGATTGGGAGAATCGAGATGGTGAGCAGAACATAAAGTAAGTTTTACAATTAATAAAAATAAAGTAATGAGCCAGATTCAGGTCCCGGTCGCGGATCATTATTACTACACATATACCTAGTCCTAAGAGCACTGATTCAATCGCTTAAAAAATCTGTGATCAGGCCTTGTACTTAACTTAAACTTCGAAATATAATATTGACTACAATAATCAACATATTTCATTAAACAGTCCTAACCACATCAAAGAAGAGGATGTGGATTCCTCACAACATTCCTTTGAATATGATTCCGAATCAAGTGACAATGTAAATGATGATGATACCACCTACAATACCAATGAATGTGACGACAATAATGCAGGAGATGATACTGAATGTGCTGTACTCTGTTCCCAGTGCAGCAAAGTTTTTAAAAATGCCAAAGAACTACAACGACATTTAAGAAATGCCCACGTTCCAGAAGATCAAAAATGTGCATGCCCTGTGTGCGGTGCAAAATATACACGTTCCTATAGTATGTATTATCATATGCGTACTCAACATGGTCCAGAATCGGTAAAAATTATACTACCACCAAGATCGGGTACATTCCAATGTGAAAAATGTCCACGCAAATATACCCAACAGAAATATCTAAAACGTCACATTAAAGATAAACATAGCGGAAAAGAAGAAGAAGAAAAAGAGGAAATAGAAAAGGATACGGACGTATCAAAAAATCAACCAAAAAGGCAGATAGTAAAAAAAGATCGCCTCTGTTCCGTATGTGGTAGTTCATTTGTAAATAAAACTCAACTAATCATACATATGCGACGACACACCGGTGAAATGCCCTTTAAGTGTGACTTGTGCGAAAAGGCATATCCACGGAAATCTGAGTTAACCTATCATCAACGAATACACACCGGTGAAAAACCCTATAAATGTACACTGTGTGACAAATCTTTTCGTATATCGGCTAAATTGAAAAATCACATGCGTTCCCATACCAATGAGAGACCATATAAATGTACTGAATGCGATCGTAGCTATAAATATTCCAAAGATTTGAATATTCATAAACGTGTACATACGGGTGAAATGCCCTATTCGTGTACTATATGTGATAGTACATTTGCACATAGTAACTTACTGAATAGTCATCGTATCACACATCATCCTGATGCGGATGCTAAAAATCTCAAATACGGAATTTCATCGAATCTGTTGAATTCAGATCGGCATTTTCTGGAATAATACAAAAAGTGATCCAAAAAAGGAAATTATTGTTATTTAATTAATAAATTATAAATAAATATAAGAAGCTGTTGCTTCTCTGTTTGGAAAGATAAAGCTGGAGAAAGATACATGCAGATGGTCACTTTAACGATCAGATTGTAAACTGGAAAGGATTTGATTGCTAAACCTGACACAATTGTTTCGCCACCCAGATATTCACAAAGCTCCATCCGAATACATTCGGTAACATGACTGCGATTTGTGCTGAGCGCGATGTCGCCTAACTTACCATCGGTAGAGAAATTACTTTAGGTGGGAAGTTCCACCTACGGGCAGCAGTGCTAAATGCTAACAGACGCGTCCACAGGTTGTGAAAATCCCAATATCATTCAACCCTCAGTCTCGAACCCTACAAGGTCAGATCCTAACAAAACTCTACAAAAGATGACGACCACTGCCGGGGTACCGGACCATTCTACTGTGCTTCAAACTCCATTACTCTCGATTATATCAACGCAATCCTGGAGAGGCAAACGGGCCTTCTCTTTGACCTGGTGAATTACCCAGCTCCTTTCGCTTTAACCAAGAAAGTATTCCAATTCATCTCTGAGCGACTCATAGGAAAACGTTATGAATACCACTGTGACTATCCAAGTGATTCCTCCAATTCAAAAATGCAATCCCTGGCGAGGATGGAGGTCCCAACTCCACGGCATGGAACAAAGCCTCGACAGCCTCGGAGGTGGGCGACTTGCATTCTTATTACACCATTCTGTCCAGTACAGCCTATCTCGCTTGAGCTAGACTCTAGTGATCCATACATGTAATGTACGGGTGTATCAGTCAAGTGTGGAACTGCCGAGGTAGAGGTGCTCAATGTTTATATACCGCCGATGAATCAGTACGCTTTAGAAGGTAATATCCGCCAGGTACTAGGGGATTTCAATGCCCACCATGAGTTGTGGCATTCCGTCCTAGGTAATGACCAGAGGGGCACAGCACTGGCTGAATAAATTAATAGCTCAGCATTTTGCACGGTTAATGAGGATGCCCCCACGAGGATAAGAGGAGATTGCTACAGCTCGCCAGACTTCACCATTGTTGTACCGGGTCTGACAAATGACGTAACTTGGCAACCCGTCATTTCACTCGGCTCAGATAACCTTCCGATCATCGTCTCTGTCAACAGATCACCAGACTTCATAACCTCTGAAAGCCGTACTTTCCTGAACCATGGGAAAGCTGATTGGCCTGGCTTCATAGAGTTTACCAATCCACGGGTAGCTGAGGAGAATTTCCGGAAAATCATCGCTACTGCTGCGGCTCGTTGTATACCTGCTGGTCGAATACCCGAAGTAAGACCTAACTTCCCAGCAGAAACAACGGTATTGGCTAATGAGCCAATACCTGGAAGGAATGATGACAGGACGGCGATATTCCCCGGGTGATATTTCCGGATCTGTTCAACCTCTACCTTTCTGATATTCCACAACCACCGGACGGGATAGAGATCGTAATGTGTGCGGATGATTGTACGATCATGGCGTCGGGTCCCATTATTGATGATATATGTGAGAGGCTAAACGTCTAAATAGCCGATCTTGTTAATTTCTTCCATATGAGGAATAAGAAAATATCCGCCACCAAATCAACATGGTCGATGGTTGATTCGACCACCAACTACAAGTCGCCTGCGCAAGCCACTGCTTTATGCGATAAGCTGAGAAGTTCTTTGAAATAAAATCTTTTATGAAATAATATAAAACATTTATACAAAATACATTGTTAATTTTGTGATTATTCTATAATACACACAAAACATTGATATTTATTTTGTTAAATTATATTAAAAATATTTATGTCATATAATTGTTTATATATTTGTTTGTAATTTATGTATTATGTATGTAGGATAGTGTAAATTTATGAATATAATTTATATTACAATTAATTTAATTTACAAATAAATCTATAAATTTTATTTATTTAAATATATATTTTCCCCATTTTTTGTATAAATAGATAAAAAGGACAAAAATGGTGAAAAACACAACAATAATTAAAATAATTTAATAATTTTCCGTTGAGGCATAATAACCCAGCATCGATTTGGTATGTTTAAATTGTATATTCTCCGTGGCTGCCAACACTTCGTCAATAAAACTCTGTGAATTGTGGATGTAAGTACCGCCCAAAATGACACGATACCCGGCATTGTTAAGCTGATGGACAGCTAATGCCTCCTCATAGGTTGCACCACCAATCATAAAGACAACAACTTCTTGCGGTGGTCTACGGAATGGTACCAATTCGGAATTTATTGTGGGATATAGGGGATCTAAGTCACGTCCCTTAAAAACATCTTCCAAAGTTTCCTTGAGGAGCGGTGTATGTTGCGTGAAGACATTTTCAACACCCTTCAAGCCTTTGATAAGGTTACGTGTTAATTTCACCGCATCTGTTATGCGTACCAAATTGAAAAGTTCTCCCTGACGCATATGCGTGCCAGCATACTCTATTAGACTGGGTATAACATGTGTCTGGCCACCACGAGTTTTGATCATTTTCAGTAGACCCGAGGTGTCACAATTGGCATGGCGTTCATAACGCAAGGCATACAAGGCCACCAATTTTACCACATCATCAATGGAAGTACGCTCATCGGATATGATTTTCTTAATACGTTGCAATTGTTGGGAATGTTCGGCTTTGCAGGCAATCTCCTGTTCCAATTCGGATACCTCAAAGAGATTACGTTTGGTCGTCAGACTTGACAATTCACCCATAATACATAAATGCTTTTGCACCGTGCCCGACATTTTCTTAAATTGTGGATAGGTCTCGATGAAATTTTTCATATCAGCAATGCTCTCCACTTTCTTTTGATCTTTGGCCTTGCGTTGAAATTCCTCCATGAGATTTTTAATTGTCGAACCAATTTCACCGAAATTTGCATACATATTTTTGCCATAGAAATCATCTTGATCACCGGAAAGTACCAACTCCTTAAAATCTTTGGGTATACCTTGAACACCGGAAAGATCAACACGATTATTGCGTATATGCAACAATTCATGGACCATAGCCTGATAGGTCCATTGATGTAGCAGTGGCGTAACCGGATCATCACGACGATCCAAAATTAAAAGTAATGGTGGAGCGGCCCCATTTTCCGGATTACGAAATTCAAACAGCGATGATTCTTTGGTAATTTGTTCGTAAATTTGTTTGGCCAATGTTTGTGCCATTGCCGAACCACCACGATAACGAATGACTGGATTTAATTTCAGAGATAACAACACGGATATAACACCTTGTACGGAACGGCTTAAGGCATCGGGTAACCAATTAAGGCGACTCATACATTTCGGAATGTTGAGGGAAAATAAATTTGGATTGACAGCTAAATAATCGGCATATAACTCTTTGACTTCACGCACCGATTCACTTTCGTCGCATTCAGCTAAATATTTAATGTCTGTTCGTGGTATGATGTTACTGAAATCTGTAAAAAATAGAGAAATATTAAAAAATTGGGTTTAAACAAACAAACAAGCGAAAAAATACGTTAAGTTCGGCCAATATCGACAATTCTACAAACCGATTTATGTAAAACATAATGTATGAAAAATTGAATGTCAATCATGGAGCAAAATATGTATAAGGTCTAGTATATATAAATTGACGTATTTGAGCAACCGTGGGTGGATTCGATTTGGTGCGTTGTGCACTAATTCGTCCTAAACGGGCAAACTTTAGTTATTTGATTAAATCAATCCAATACGCTATGCAATATTTCATGTAAAGCGAACAAACATAGACAGACATGGAGCTATATCTAAATCTGAACCGATTTCAGCAAAACTTCGCATACATCAATCTAGACCAAATTCTGTACCCTGTCCAAAATATTGTCGCAATCGAACCAATATGGAAGTATGGTGTCGCATTTACATAAAATCGGACGAAACTATATATGGGAGCTATATCTAAATCTGAACCGATTTTCTCAAATTTCTCAAACAATAGGGTGACGAACCCTGGGCCAAATAAGTGACATGTGCCAAATTTCATCCAAATCGGATCATACATGAGACCTGTACTTTGTTCACAAACATACATGGGTGGACAGACGGACATGAATAAATCGTCTCACCAAGTGATTCTAATCATATTCTCAAAAGGAACCAGGGGTCTATCTCGATTCGTTTTGCCTGTTACAAACATAAGCACAAAGACATAATACCCTGTACCACAGTGTGGTGTGTGTGTCAACCTACACCTAAAGGCTTAACAAAAAATCCTTGAGTCAATTTGCGGAAGCCATAACGTTCTTAACATTAACCAAGATACAAAAAATAAAATTAAATGTGAGTGGGACGATGTGCCAGTCAATATTTTAAAACTTACACAAAAAATACGATCCATATTTAGGGCTTCTTAGCTCTTGGGCCAACAGTTGTATATTCTGCTTCGTAGGGCGTATAAATACAATACACTTTAAATATTTCATACGTTCATTGGAACGTCCCGAATCGATGCGTTCGAAGAGGAATACTTCACGTTGCAGCATATCCGATTGGGCAAATGCCATGGAAATAATACTTGTCTGTAAATAGAGAAAATAATAACAATTAAAAAAATAAACAAACAACAACAATAACAAAAGCTACAATAGTTAGTATTTTTAATAGCATATTTTTGTTTTTAAATTACAACTGAATCACCACCCACCGCCCCCGAAAAAAATTTTAGATGTTTTCTGCAATATCACCAACCTACCGTTTCTTTATCAAGCAGCATAGTTTTCATGCCAGGTCCTGATTCGGTGCACATTTTTTCAATATATAATTTAATACTTGTTATTACATTCATTTTGTTTTTTTCTCTATTTTCTTTCGTTTTTGTCTCTAAAAAAACTAAACTGTAACAATCTTCCAAATTTTTCTTCTTTTCGTGTTGGACAGATAAGCAAATTCGCAACCGATAGAAATTGAAAAACGTTCCACTTGCCAACGAATGGGAGAGAAGACAAAATGGTCGATAAAGCAGAACTCAAAGTAGAGTATAACGAAATATTTACGAATGAGGTGGGATGGAGACTGAATGAGAACCGTGTACACACACGGACACTGTCCTTGTGAATGCTTCAGTGTTGAGTCAGGGTTGTACGTTATAATGCAGGGTTGCATTTTTCGTATGTACGAATGGATGGATGGTTGCTACAGCAGTTATTAACGGATTTCGGGATATTTTATATACTCAATTTTCTATTAAATTTTATTAAAATAAAACTATTTCCTTTGTGTTGAACAGACACAATCTTCTTGCCAAGGCGTATTTAATAAGGTGTAAGTGACAATCATATGGTTTCAAACTTTTTTCCTTATTGTTTGTAAAGTAAATTGTCAAAAACATTTTCAATTTTCAATATTACATTTCGATTTCAAAAATGGTCTTTAAATTTAGTATTTTTTAATAATAAAAATTAAAGAAAATACATTCATAGAGGCGGACGGAAAGGAAACATATGCTTAAATCAGTTATAACCCCGTTCGCCGATTGGTCCACATATTTTATGTTATGTGTGGAGATCTGTCCAGAAATCCCAGCAACTCATCAAATCGAGGAGATTATGTTAGCCTATATTGAAATCGGCCCCTTGGTGCTTGTCACAATTCTCGGCGGAGGTTAAATACGCCTATGGAATGATTTTATACGGCCAACACAATTTCCATGATTGAGTCTTTGGCCGGGGATTCATGTCCTTCAATTTTCATTAAGAAGGCAAGATTTGAAGCCACTCCATAGAAAAAATAGATTGTAATCCACAATATAAACAACATCACAAGGAGCCATGGGCTAATTGTGGATAACTTAAAATTAATCGCGACCAGGTCTTAAACTTCATTTTTCACTGACCTAAAACACAAATTCATTAATTATTCCTCAAAGAAAAGTTCTTGACAAAAATAAATTAATAATTGTTTTTGTTTATTTTTGTCAAAAACTTATTGTCAGAATGACAATTTAATTTCTATAACAATAATGTTGTTTTTGTAAAATATTTGTTGTTGTATCTGATGCATACACCTTATTAAATACACCTTGCTTCTTGCTTTTTCCTGTCGTTGTAATTCAAATGAAAACCAGTAAGGAAAGCAGTAAAGTCGGACTGGGCCGACAATGATACCCTTCACCACTTTGGGTATATTGAATATATGTATCCCCTCCAACGAACGTACGCAAGTCTTTCTGCAACCTATGATAAATTTAATTTCATTCGGGCAGATTTAAAGTCGACTTCGTACCATGGGACAAATTTATGAAAAACGACTTATAGCAAAATTAATTCGGTTCGCCGCACTGTTCGGTCGCCGCACTGTTAAAATTTTAATTTCATTCAGACATTCATTCGAAATACATATGGAAGCTATGACAGCATCTACATCAACTTCAACAAAACGCAATAACGTTATTCAAGTCACAACTTGATACGTTGTGCAAAAAATCGTGTTAATCGGACAAACATTAGAAGGTTGGTGCATTATTTATGTAAAATCGGACGAATATGTATGTATATGTGGGAGCTATATCGAAACCAGAACCGATTTTTCCGAAACTTAGCACACATCATTCTAGACTCAATTCAGTACGCTGTTCCAAATTTCATGCAAATCGAAAGGTCAATAGGAACTTTGGTGCACCATTTACATAGAATCGAAAAAAAACTATATATGGGAGCTATATCTAAATCTGAACCGATTTTCACGAAACTTAGCACACATAATTCTGGACCTAATTCAGTACTCTATGCCAAATTTCGTTCAAATCGAATGATATATGGGGACTTTGGTGCACCATTTACCTTAAATCGGACGAAACTATATATAGGAGCTATATTTAAATCTGAACCGATTTTCTCTAAACTTGACACACATCATTCTAGCCTTAATTCAGTACGCTATGATAAATTTCGTGCAAATCGAATGATATATAGGGACTTTGCTGCACCATTTACCTTAAATCGGACGAACCTATATATGGAAGCTATATCTAAATCTGAACCGATTTTCTCGAAACATGGCACATATCATTCTGGACCTAATTCAGTACTCTATGCCAAATTTCGTGCAAATCGAATGATATATAGGGACTTTGCTGCACCATTTACCTTAAATCGGACGAACCTATATATGGGAGCTATATCTAAATCTGAACCGATATTCTCGAAACTTGGCACACATCGTTCTGCATCTAATTCAGAACTCTATGCCAAATTTCATGCAAATTGAAAGATATAGAGGGACTTTGGTGCCCCATTTGCCTTAAATCGGACGAAAAAATATATATGGGAGCTATATCTAAATCTGAATCGATTTTTCCCAATTTCAATAGGGTTCGTCCTTGGGCCAAACAAATGAGCTGTGCCAAATTTCATCCAATTCGGATCAAAAATGCGACCTGTACGTTGTTTACAATTTTACATGGACAGACAGACGGACGGACAGACGGACATGCATAAATCGATTTAGAAAGTGATTCTATGCATATTCTCAAAAGGAACCATGGGTCTATCTCGATTTTTTTTTTGCCTGTTACAAACATATGCACAAAGACATAATACCCTGTACCACAGTGTGGTGAAGGTTATAATGATAGCCAGCCAAGTATCGGCTATTTAGTGTGTCAATAACAGCTGATTCTATGTGGGTGACCGTTACAAATTTAATAGAGTAATAGCATTGATAGCAACATGTAGCAATTGCAAATTGAGCAATTCGGGACCCTTATATTGGGGATATTTCAGCAGGAATGCCAAGGACATTAAGATGGCTAGCCATACATTCGATAAAGACTACTTACACCGCGTTCATGATCTCGTTTTTTCTTTGATGACTACACTTACTAATTTTTCCCGCATCTTCCTTTTTATTCTTTTGCTCCACAGCTGATTTTTGTCAACATGTGCGTCTGTTCGTTGACGCATAGTGGCTGATTATCTACGCCCGTCTCTATGAATTTAATTGCTGGCTGCAGCGTAACTGTCTGCTGTTCTATAAAATCTTTTAAACAATTTTGGATGCCCGAATCTTGAAAAATCTACTAGAGTTTACGAGTTTAATTGCTGCGTGCTAATCATCGTAATTCCAAGGAGAATAAAAAATATGGGGGATATTTCCAGCTACCAACTGATTACCAACTGATTACAATTTTTTCTCAAGGTGGCTTGTTCCATCAAATCAAAATACATATTTTGTGAAATCATAACCATTCATTCATTTTTCGCGTTTTTTAGTTTTGTGTTGAAAAATGTCACAAAAGCCACACGTGCATAGTTGCTTTTTTGTTATTCACCTCAAGCTGACCTACCTGATATAATTCCATATTAGAAAATTGGATCAGGATCTTCCATTTGGGCAACTATAAGAAGATCCTAAGGGAGTGTCTTGAACCCAGTTATGTCTGATTTACTAAATTCCCTAAAGTTTAGGTTTAAAGCCAAAATAATTGTGTTAATTTTGGGTACTTGAAAAGAGATAGGCAGGAATAGGGAATTGCTTATGATAGCTTAACGACTTCACCAGTAGCCAATGGCGCGATAGCCGATACCGGCGGTACCAATGTACAACATTGGAACCGCAATCCTGGAATGATGGGTGGCATTATACAGTGGGATGTATGCTTCGAACCATTTTGGTCCGCACCAGGATAGAAAGAATCCACACACCTTGGTTCTGCATCGGGGCTAAAACCATCGACTATACACTGGTTGTATAACACCGTGGTAAGGCCCATTCTATCCTATGGCTCTCTTGTGTGGTGGAACTGTCTGCGCCACAAGTCGACATCTAGTAAATTATATAAGGTACAAAGAGCCGCCTCGATTTTAGTTACAGGAGCCATGAGGAGTACGACACAAGCTGCTCTGAACACAATGCTGAACTTAAAGCCTCTGGGCCTCAGCATTAAGTACCAGGCCGCACGTAGCGCCCTAAGGCTGCATGAACAAAAACTGTGGCGATGCTGTACCTTTGGGCATGATCGTATCTTTAACGAGCCAGGTACGATATTGGACCAACGCGTAAAACTAAGCGACTAAGACGGATCCAAGATGGAAGAAGGTACAGGGGCTGGCGTCTACTGTGAAAGGCTAGTCCTTGAGTTAACCTATAAGCGAATAGAACCGAAGTAACCCTCCTCTGGACAGTCTGGCCTTCTATACAGACGGATGCAAGATGAAAAGGTACAGGGGCTGTGAAAGACTAGTCCTTGAGTTAACCTACAAGCTGGATTGCAACTGTAGTGTTTTCCAAGCTGAAAACTTCGTGATTTGGAAGGCAGCGGAATTGATAAAAAGTCTGGATGCAGAGGTCGTTGAACCGGTGACTATCTTCGTGGAAAGTTAAGCGGCTCCTAAAGCCATCAAATCTTGTTATATCAAATCTGAGGCCGTCCTCAGAGAACCTTTGGAAGAACTTACTTACAGCTATCGTCTGTGATAGGTACCAGAACATTGTGAAATCTTGGGTAATGAAAGATCAGACGAATTAGCTAGACGAGGATCTCAATATATAGATCTAGCAATTGATGACTCAATTATTATCACAATGGACCTGACGGTCTCAGAGTGCTACATCCCATCTTCGGTGAAATGCAACAGATGTATGTAGTGGGTTCATTTCACGACATATCCTACCGTATCCTTATCGTCTTCGTCACCAACGCCATCGTCGTCAACGTCTTTGTCGGTATATAAAACACCCAACATTCTCCTCTACAGCAAACGCAGCACATGACACCACATGTTGTTGTGCGACGAAATTGTCGTTCGATAGCTTATTTATATCGTCTAGACAAATAACGAATTTGTCGATGTAGTGCCCGCTAAGGTGCCATCACCTTATGGATAGGATTCCCCTACCCATGCACGTAAGGTAAGATCTACATGATCTGGGTGGAGAGGTTCAACGGTACAATATGGAACCCCTAGATCAATAGAACAATCGAGGAATGAATAGCATACACAACGAAACCGACATAAGAACTGCGATAGGCTGCCTTCTTATGATACCAGTGGAGGCGATTGTCTTACCCGTACATCGGAACAAAAATATGTTGTCATTGCAGTGCCTGCTTAGGTTCCATCATCCATGTCATCACACCAAAGCAGTGACGCAGGCTATCGACCAATACCACATAAATGCAGTTATTGGAGTCCAATTATCAAAACGGACATCTACCTAGATAAAATAGAGTGGTTTTAGCCCAATTAAGATCAAAACGGAGTAGCCCGAATTGATACTACAAACCATACACATGTACTGAATATGGTCTTTGACCTCACCCAATCATCTGTCACCGGAATCTCTTTAGACGCAGCAGATTGCATCCTTTTTGAACCTGAAAACAAGGGAGTCAGAACCGGAATAAAAGAAAATACAACAAATATGCTAAAACAACCAACTTATGAATAGGTGTCCACTGTTCAGGTATCTTATTACCTTTAGAGAGAGAAGTCCACGAGGTACAAAATATAGATCTACAGTCCTATCAAGCAGGATTTTTTCCGTTTATGTGAAGATGCGTAAGAGTTGGAAACAATTGAGCATCTATGCAGCAAAGGTCATCGATAGTTTGGTAGATATGTAATTTATACTCTAGCATTCTTCTCTGGAATACATACAATATCTAAACTTGTCCAGTATAACCTTCTCCTTTCCTTTCTTTTATTCTCTTCCTTTCTGATACTCAGGACAAGTACAATAGACTGAAGGTGTCCGAGTGAAAAAAGCTGGTAAATAATTTGTGGCCTATGGGAACCTCAAATATCCTTGATTCGTTTGAAATAATATTTTAGATGCCTTCATTTTTTCTTGGGGAATTTTCAACCTCCAAAATCTTGTCTACGCCATCACTGGAATATAAAAAAGAAAAATTCTGCTCTATCGCTTATGGTGTTTTTACACGATATGTATTTTACATATGTGCTGTCACTTTTTTACATATGGAAATCGAACTCGTCATGTGAAACATACGGAAATTTCAATGTGTCAAAACGATATGCAATTACATATGTATTTTTTCCTAATAGGACGCGCTCTATTTTCGTATGTGAAACATAAAGAAATCAGCTGTTTGAATGAAAGACATTGATGGAAGAAAATATTTCAATGGCAAGTCAAAGAAAAGTCTGAAAAGGCTTTACAAATATATATTTCGTTTGTAGGTGTTTAATAAAAAAAAATGTTGATTTACAAAAAAATTTTTTTTTTGTTTTGTTATGTCATATGTAAAATACATATGCCAATTTGAACACAAAAAATAAATGTTTTGTGTACGCTGTAATTTTGACACACATAAGGAATTACATATGGATGAAAAAGTGACAGCACATATGTAAAATACATATCGTGTAAAAACACCATTAGCGACCAATTTCGCCGGTCCCTAGACCGTTGTAATAAGCGATTTCTTTCGAACTCTATTAATAAGGTTATCCAGGAAGATCAGCTGTTTCTAATGTATGCTGTCAAAGTTTACTATAAAACACTATGGTTGTATTCAAATATGTTATATATACCTTGGATCAAAATAAAATAATAAATACGAAAATAATGAGGAGTCAACCAGTTCCAACTCACAAATAAGTGCATTCTGGATGCCATTCAGAATTTATTTTCAAATTGTTTTTGTTCAATATGACTGTGCATATTCATCTACATTATAATAAGTGCGTTCGTTTACTTTCCCAGTAACATTTAATCAGTAAAAATTTGCAGAGAGTATAATGCGAGAACATGGCAAAAAGTAAACGAGTAAAGCAGTAAAACGGCTGTATCGACACAGCTGATTAAAACAACAAACAATTTTGCACAAACAAAGAGCAGACTTTTTATTAGAAAAATGATAAAAAGCGAAAAATGTATGTTGTTTATTAATACTTGCGTTTTATTCATCCATTTTAATGATTAATGATACAAAATCAATATAAAATACATAAAATAACCAATTTGCTTGAGAACAATTTACAAATCATAACAAAACAGCTGATGAAATGTCAGCTGATGGTACAAAAAATTCGTACTGAGTAAATTTTCCTTGTAAGTATTTGCAAATACTCAGTAACACTACAGTCAAATCTGCTCTCTCAATTCATTCTCTTTAACTGAACTTTTGGGTAAACGAACAACATTTTGTAATAATTTGTACAAATTATTGAGTAAACGAACGAACCTAATATATACCATATGATGTTGACCGATCGACTACTGATTACTTTGATAAACCGATAACTCGAGCAATTTCGATCGTTTGCTATCATATAATTATATGATCGTATCAAAATGTATTCTCGAACAAAAACTCATTCTAAATCGAGTCCCCTTTGTCTGTCTCCGTCCCCTGTTTACGTTAGCGAACGACCCTAAAGTCATAATTTAAACGAAAATCTTCTGAAATTAGTGTTATTTGTTAAAAATATATATTTGTATATTAAATAACTTTCTAAAGTTCTATATAAAAAATTTTATATCATATAATTGATAATAAATTTCTATTTTTAAAAATTAGTAACAAAACTTGTCTAAATAAATATATACACACATTTTTATAAAAATCATATAGTATTTAAATATTTCATTAATAAAAACATAACATAAACTTAAAAAATCTCATAATAATAATAAACATAATAAAAGTAAACAAACATAAATATGAATGCATAAATTCAGTAGTAGTCGCAGACGTAGTGGTATACGTCCGTATGTCGGTCTCCTAAAAATTAATCTGAGTTATTAGCACCCCAATTTGAGGGTTTGGTTGGTAGAACCTTTGGTTTTGGTGGTAAAGGTGGTGGTCCTTTACAAGCTGCACTACTCGTTTCATTAGTATCGGAATTATTTGAGGATACTTCGCACTCAGCGTCATCGCCACCATTACTCAACAGTGAGTTGCGTTTCAATGTTATCGATTGTTTCCGTATAAGATGGATGGGTTTTTCCATGGGCAGCGGAGGTGGACAAATCATTTGATTGGATTGTGGATTCGGGGTTTTATTGACGGGACTTAAATTGGAACGTATTTGGCGTAATGTTAAAGCTGTATCATTTTGTTGATTTTCTTTATTGTTGCGTGTATAGTCTGAGGGCAATATGCTTGGAATACTGCTACTGGTGCTCATTATGGGTTGATTATCCAAACGGGATTTAAGGCTAAGCAGTAGTTCGTCTAGAGAAAGAAAAGATAAATTACTTTTTGTTTATTTAATAGATTAAGGTTATTTGTCGTATTTACCTTGCTTCTCGGCCACTCTCTCTGTCACTTGTAATTTTGCACCCGCTTTCAGTTTGGCAATAATCGGTTTATTCAGTTCACTTGCAGTACTTTGTGGTTCACTGGAATGTTGCCGTATAAGAATTGGTATCTTCCCTCTAGTACGAAAATTAAAGGAACCAGTCTTTCGACCATTTAGAGAGGTTTCCGAACCACTTTCGTTGGACTAAAAAAGAAAAGCAATAAAATAAATTAATTTATTAATAATTTATCTAATAAAATCATCTATAAAGGAATTATCGAAAAATTGGCTAAAATAAAAATGTTGTTATCGACACAAACAATCTTTCCCCTTTCCTTTGTTATCGATAACTTGTCTCTATGGAAATATTTTTGTTGATCAATTTTATCTACCGGAAATTCCATAACGATAATTTTTCTCTATGGTAAACTAGTTATCGATAATATTCCCCCTTTGAAAACTTATAAAATTTGTTATCGATAATTTGTCAATAAAGAAACATTGTTACAACTATTTTTCTATAAATAAAACTAGTTATCGGTCATGGAAAACATATTATCGATAATTTTTCTATAGAGAAAAATTATTATTGGTAAAAAAATTATAATTGACAACATTTCTATAGAGAGAAATTATTATCGACCATTTTTCTATGGAGAAAAATTGTTATCGATAATTTTTCTATAGAGAAAATTTATTATCGATAATTTTTGTATAGAGATACAAATATAATATATTGATACAAGATCTATTAATAAGGTCACTAAGATAGCAATCGAAATCGGAAAACAGCTGTTTTTTCTCAAGTCTAATGTCAAAAATTTCGACTTTGTTTACGTTTTCATAATTCAATTCACAATAATGCATTTTGACAGCAAACTTGAGAGGTATCGATAATCAGCTGGTCTCCCTTGGTGACCTTATTTATAGGCCATGATATAGAGACAACTTATAATCGATAATTTTTCTATATAAAAAGTATTATCGAACAAATTTCTATAGAGAAAAATTATTATCGATAACTTTTCTATAGAGAAAAAATCTTATCGATAAATTTTGATAAAAAAAATATTATCGATAATTTTTCGTTACCAAAAAATTATTATCGATAATTTTTCTATACAATAAGCATTATCGAAAATTTGTTATAGAAAAAAATGTTTATCGACAAATTTTCTATGGATAAAAATTATTTACGATAATTGTTCTATATAGAAAAAATGGGTATCGATCATTTTCTATAGAAAAAAAGTTATCAATATTTTTTATAGAGAAAAATTATAATCGATAATTTTTGTAGAGAAAAACTTTTATCGATATTTTTTCTCCAGAAAAATTATTATCGATAATTTTTCTGTAGAGAAAAATATCATCGGTATTTTTTTTATTAAAAAGGGGTTATCGACAATTTTTCTATTGAGAAAAAGGATTTAGGTAATTGTGCTATTATTATCGACAATTTTTCTTTAGAGGAAAATTATTATCGATAATTTTTTTATAGAGAATAGTTATAATCGATATATTTCATGTAGGAAAATATTGTTATCGACAATTTTAATAAGGACATTTTTCTAAAAAAAACTGTTATCGACATTTTTTAAAGCAACAAAAAAATTGTTATCGATAATTTAGAGACATGTTATCGATAACATGTTTACAGAAAAATACTGTTATCGATAACTTTTCCATGGCAAAAAAAGAAAATACAACAATAAATGTAAGATTTCGCCATGCAACTCACCTTAAATTCGCCCAAATCCATTAATTGATTCGATCCCCTTCTCTCTTTAGAACTTAACGCGTTTAGATTATTCTCGGAACTACTAATGGTACTATTTTTAGCATTTCGAGCTTTAAATTCGTTAGCCAGTTCTTTTGATTTCAAATAGTTCAATGAAATATTATCATTTTGATAATCAGCAGCACCATTATTGGATATTGAGGTGGTGGTCGTCGCCGTGTTGGTTTCCTTTAAGACCACATGTAAACGTTGACCATCCACATTGGTTACCGGCTGGTAGAGATTCATACTCTCCATGGTATCACGTCGCAATACATCCACCGCGTTCATATCGTAATTATATTTTTGCAATATCGAACTGACAATCTCGTGTAGTTGTTTCTTTGGTTTACTCTTTACCGAGATCACCTTGGGATCCGGTAAATACAGCTTAAAGGTAATACTTGGTTCAATTTCAACATCTTCACCGGCGATTATTTGAGAGCTGGCCTGTAAATCGATTGTTTTGTTTTCCGACTTGAGTATGACTTCGTAGAGGCGATAGTGTAGACCACGTTTTTCCAGCACCCGTTCGACCAGTTGACCCACCGTCTCATGCGGTTTGATTTGCACAATTGTTGTGGCCTCATCGGAGAATTTCACCCGACACAGATGGCATGTGGGTGAGTTGAGGGTTCTCAGGGTTTCAGCCGATTTCGATGGTGTCATTTTACCCGCCGCCGCCGTCCTCATAATTAGAGTATTTAAAGCATTGCTATTGGTTAGAGCTGCTTCGGCGTTATCATCTGCCGATGATGCCGATTCGGCGTCCATACGATCACGTGATTTGCTACGTGTCTTGCGATGCCAAGGCAATAATATTTTACGACGACGATCTTCCGCGTTGCTGGCCGATTTTTTTAACTAGATTGGCAAAGAAAGAAGAGGAAATCTTTGAGCATTAAGTTAGCAAAACTGTAAGCCGGTTCAGCCTTCCTTGACTTACCTTTGGCGAGGCACTTTGTAAAAAATTTGTCCTCAGCAGGGCGTCTAGGTTATCAGCCCCATAGGGTAGAGGTTGATTTTTTTCCTCAGCATTTTGACAATTCTTATATAAATCGGAGCGAATAAATCTTTGGTAGCTATCGAATTTCATCAAATGGAAAATCTGTTTTTGGGCCTTGGAAAACAGTTCCTTTTCAGCTTGTTCCAGAGCTTCGGGACTTATGTTGCGTGTCTGTGAATCTAGGTTAACGGGTTCACAACAAGTGCTGGCCAAATGTTTGGCAAAAATTTGTTTTGCCTGAGCCTGTCGCTCCGCTTGGCTCTCGGTATTCCGATAACGTTCACAGGCAGTCCAAAAGTAAATATTCTCGACAGAGAATTCCATCTTTAGAAATTCGGCAAATGTGGCCAAACCGGCGGGATCATCTAATAGATTTTCAAATGATATGGCCCATGATCCGACTCGCGAGGTTTTGATTTGTTGCTGTACATTATTGCTGGAGGTCACCTTATCGGAGGCTCTACGTGCCGTGGGTAGTAGTTGCAGTTGTGGTTTGACAGGAACAGTACCCGCCAGAAAGACATCGTCATCTGTCGCAATCATGGGGGAGGAACAACGTTGCTCCGGATTACAACTTTTACGTGGACTCAGGTTGTATCGATCGGAACGTGGCGAACGCAATGATGAATGTTCCCAAACCCGGCGAAAAGGTGATGTTCTGCCGCTGCTGGGAAAAAGACGACTCTGTGAAGGAGGAAAAAAAAACAAAAAGTGGAAGGGGGAACATGAGAATAATGTAAACCAACAACAACAAAAAACATTGTTTATTACAATAACCTAAACACGTCCGCTAAGGTTCATAAAACAAACCAAAATGTTTGTTGTCAACTTGAAATCACGTTTGTTTTACATTCTAACCCGCTGTTGCGTCTGCTACAACGACAATTTGTCTGCTCGACTGACTGCCTGCCTGTGACTCTCTCGATCGCAGTAAGCTGTAGATGTATTATTGGTGACCGTATTTTCGCTGTTATTCATTCATTAAAAGTAGAACAATGTGGCATTTATATTTACCGCTTCACTGTGGTTAGTTGCCACTCACTGACACACTCACATATACACACACACAGACGATCGCGTTTGTGTATAAAAAAACTGCATACAGGAAACTGTAATTTTCTTTTTAACTGTAAATAATTTCAAAATGTCTGTGATTATGCGAATATTTGCAATACGCTTTTTTGCCTCTGCTATTTGGATGTGAAGTGAAAATCTAAAGAATTCGGAAATTGAGATTAATGCAAACGAATCGTTATTTTTTTCAAATTCCAAATTCTCAACTAGGCATACGTATATGGGATAAACATGAGATTTTTCGAATGGGTTTGGTAAGACAGAGATAATTTGAACCACATCAACAACTAAGGGGCCAATCTGGGGAAAACGTGGGATATAAATTTTAGTTGCACGAACATTTTTTTTATTTATTCTTCATCACTTATTATGGATCTTAGCAATCGAGCTTATAGTCAGACGAAAAGAGTAGATCAGGTGGGCGCCAAAATTAATTAAACACAGATAAATTGGGCGCCATATTTCTCAATTATCCCTCATGGGTATTAATGAATGTTGGCAATCAATATTCCTGTCCGACTAAAGGATTATATCGTTTGGACGCCAAAATTCAAATTACAAGATTTAGTTCGGCGGCAAATATCGCAATTATTCCTTATCAGTACATAGGCAATTTGACTCAAAGATGAGATATGTTAAGCGCCAAATTTGCATTTAGGTTAAAATTTGCAGTCATGTTAAAATAATAAATGTGTTGGGCGCCAAATGTCCTGATTATTTCTTATGGGTATTTAGGTAGGATGGTAATCAAAGTTTCGGTCACACTAAGATAGTATATCTGATGGGAGCCAAAATTCAAATTTCAAGATTTAGTTTGGGTCCCAAATTTGGCAATTATCCCCTATTAGTAGAGTTGGGCAGTGGGTAAGTACGCAAAGGGTAAATACCCGGTAACAATTCTGTAAATACCATTTCTACTTATTAGTACATAAGTATTTTGGCATTAAAACTTTGAGTCAGACTGAAAAAGTAGATATGTTGGGCGCCAACTGTGTAAACTTTCTGTTAGATTAAAATAATAAATACATTGGGCGCCAAATTTCCCTTTTATCCCTAACGGATATTTAGATATGCTGTAAATCTGATAACCTACAACATTAAAATTGCAAGATTTAGTTGGGCGCCAAATTTGGCAATTACTCCCTATTAGTATTTTGACATTAAATCTAAAAAAAGATATGTTGGGCAAAAAATCCTTCATGCAGTTGGGCGCCAAATGTGTAAATTTTCTGTTAGATTAAAAGAGTAAATATGTTGGGCGTCAACATTTCCATTTATCCCTAATGGGTATTTAGACATGCTGGCAAAAAAGTCTTAGTCAAATTAAAACAGAATATCTGTTGGGCGCCAGAATTCATATTACAAGATTTTGTTGGGCGCCAAATTCTGTAATTATTCCTTATCATAACAGTAAAACGTTTAGACAGACTTAAGTTGGGCGCCAAATTTCGTAATTATTCCTTATCACAACAGTGAAACGTTTAGACAGACTTAACTTGGGCGAAAACAACGCATCATTTATTCATTTGTTGGGCGCCAAATTTGCAATCAGGCTATCAGCTATTATGAAATAGTGAATAAATGTACGCTAAATTCGGTAATTATCCGCCATGGGTATTTATAGACATGTTGGCAATCAATGTTTCCCTCAGACTAACATAATATATATGTTAGGCGCCAAGATTCACATTTCGCAATTGCCCCTAGGTATTTTAAAAGTGAAAATTTAGGCAGTCTGAAAAAGAAGACCAGTTGGGCGCCAAAATTCACCTTACAACCTTTACTTGGGCGCCAAATTTGCATTCAAGCATTCGGTTAAATGGAAAGCGTAAATGTAGTGGGCTCCAATTGACCTAATTATCCATCATGGGTATTTAGGCAAGTGCTACACCTTTAAAAGAGTAAATGAAGAAAAATTGGATTAAATAATTTTCCATGCTCGACAATGGTCAGGAGTTAATAGGGGTCAAAGTCATAGTACTTTTTGGGAAAATATTCTCTTGAACTTCCAAGAAAAACAGACAAACAGAGGACTTTGAACGTACCAAAAATGAAGCGAAAGCATTGAAAATTTTTTTGGGGAAAAAGTTGCCCCCGTTGATCTGATGGAATGCTTGAGTACCATCATAGGATCATGATCTCAAAAAATAAGTAAGAAATATGGCGCCCAACTAAAGGTAGGCAAAATTTTAAATTTGTTGAACCCAAAAGTTCTACACTTTTAGGATTAGAGGACCTTGAACGTACCAAAAATGAAGCGGAAGCATTGATAATTTTTTCTAGGGAAAATGTTCCCCCCGTTTTTATTACTTCTTTAATCGGATGGAGTGCTTGAGTACCAATATAGGGTTATGATCTCAAAAATAAATAGGAAAAATGGCGCCCAACTAAAGGTAGGTAATATTTTGTAATTTGTTGAACCCAAAAGATCTACACTTTTAGTCTGAGTGCCTATCTACCGATGAGGATATTTGGCGCTCAACACAAATTTGTTTTTAGAATTATGGCGCCCAACAGATCTACTCTTGCATGACAACATGCCTATCTACCGATGAAGGATAATTGTCACATTTGGTGCCCAACAAGCCTATATTTTCCCTATTTTTTTATCGATCTTACCAAGACAGTTAATATGGAAATCTCTGAAGGATGTGGAAAATGTAAATTCCAATTCATTTTTTTGAAAGAGGGCATCAAAATCTCCAATATATTTTCGTAATGAGTGTGATAGTCTCCATAACTCTCATTGGTACTGTCCGCATTGTCACACTATACCAAGGCAACATGGCGCCGAATTAAAGGTAGTATGTAAAATTTTTGAACCCAAAAGATCTACACTACCGATTACGATATTTGGCGCTCAACTCAAAGTTATTTGTAGAATTATGGCGCCCAACATATCTACTCTTGAAATCTGATTGAATCTTGAATGATAACATGCCTATCTACCGATGAAGGATAGTTAGGAAATTTCGCGCCCAATCACGCCTATAGTTTCTTATTTCATTCCCTTAATTTTTATTGTTCTTAACTGTTTTAATTTTGAATTCTCTAAAAGATGTGCTTATTTTTTTGAAAGCGGGAATCCAAATTTTCTAAACATATACCTAGGCGGCATGTTCTATGGCGCCCAACTAAATGTAGTATGTTAAATTTTTGAACCCAAAAGATCTACACTTTTAGTCTGAGTGCCTGCCTAACATATCTACTTTTGAAATCCGATTAAATCTTGAATGACAACATGCATATCTGCCGATAAAGGATAATTAAGAAATTTGGTCCATATTTGGTCTTACCAGGACAACAAATTTCAAGCTCTATAAAAGATGCGGTAAATGTAAAATTATTATAATTATTTTTTGTTTTTTTTTTTTTTTTTTTTTTGAAAGAGGAAATCAAAAATTCCTAAATTTTTGACAATAGTTTTGTCCATAGACCACGTTGTTGCTGTCCTCATTACCACTCATATAACAAGACATCATGTTCTCTGGACTCACAATTCGAAATTATTTTCTTATACAAAAAAATGATTCCGTGTAAACACTATATAGACCGATTTTTGGGAGAAAGTTCCCAGCCATAATTTCCGTTTCCTTTTTAGGCCGAGATTGTCCTTCAGAGAATTACTAAAACTTGGCGTTGTTACACCGCTCAATAATTTTCACTTTTCAAAATAAACACCAACCTTAAATTCCTTTAACATTTCCGTTTCCTTTTATTTTTTGCTGTTGTTGTTTCTGGGTGTTGTTGACAAGTGTTGATATCATTTGATAAAGGAGATGTGACGAAAAAACATGTTTCCAGGAAAAAATCTATTTGATTAATAACACTTCAGGGAGGGCATAGCAAAAGGTATTACGCACACACACACACCCGCCCACACACACACACCCACTCTCCAATAGGGGATACGAATTGCAAGCGATAAAAGAAATTTTTGAAACTAGCAATTAACTAACTCAACGACTAATTTGCTAATGTTTGGCAAAAATCTAATTTTGCCATGAACTAGCGAATGGGCAGCAATGGGGGATTTAAAAAAATAACAAAAAAGAAATTCAAACGTGATCGATATTGTTTGACAGTCACAATTTCGAAAATAAAATTTCTTTCCATTAGAAATGAATTAATTAAACAAAGTCATCGATAATAATGATGACGAAGTCGATTATTACGATGATGGGTTGTCTTACATTTATTGTTGTTGTTCTTCTTCTTATTCCAAGTGCCGTTGTTGTTGTCTTTTCCAAGTGTTGTATTGTTTAACTGAAGGTGAACTTTGATTTTGATTTGTAATTTTAAAAATAATTTGTATTTTTCTTTTTTCTTCTTCTTTTGCAATAATTTCTTCAATTACTTTTTTTATTTAATTGTTTTCTTTTTGTTTTTGCTATTAATTTTTTTCGAAAACGACCATCCAAATTTTTAGAGACATTGAGACATTTTTTTTGTTTGTGTCGTCTGTTTGTTGTTTTTTTTTTGCTTAGCTTATTTGTTTGATTGCGAAATTTCTTTTTTTGTTGTTGTTGTTGCTTGGATTTTAATTCGTTAGCACACCGACTGCCAGCACAATAGTATCTTCACTTGCCGACGCCATATTTGTAATATCA